TAATGAAGGCTTTGTAAAAAGTTAAACACGATTGTGGATCTGCTTCCCACCAGGTTTTTTTTTTATTTAATTAATGGCTTTGGATAACTTGATCCATTCAGCCACGATAATGTATTTGACTACTTGAATTTGTTAATGATGTATTGACCTATTGCATTTGTTAACAAAATAGTACTTCGCATAGAGGTAAATTAAAAATATAATGTAAACATTAGTATCACAAATCCCACCAGGTTCTCCTTATAAATTTTAAAAAATGTATGCCTTTTAAACATTTTGATTCTATACTTTGTATAAATAGTTTACAGATAAGCTTCTTGTCAAGAATAATTCCAAGATAAGTTACCTTATTTGATACTGGATACCTTTCCTAAAACCTTTACAGTGCCTGTACCTTTCCTAAAACCATATTGAGAACGACTCAGGTATTTTTCACACTTATTGTGAATGCGGTTATAAATTACTCGCATAAAAATCTTAGCAGTATGACTCATTAGGGATACAGTTCGATGGTCTTCACATTTCCTTGCTTTTTGTTTTTTAGGAAGAGCTACATATGTGGATGTTAGCCAGTCATGCGGTAGAGTGCCATGTTCATTTATAATGTTAAAGAGGTAGGTTAATTTCCCGACAGCATCATCACTCAGGTGTTTAAAATGTTCGGCTGTTGTTATATCTTCGCCGGGTGCCTTGTTGTTCTTTGCGTCTTTTATTGCTCGCATAACTTCTTCGGTTAGAATACTTAGTTTTACATCGGCATCTATTTGTGGGGGCCCTTCTTCTCTCCGATCACCAAACAAATCTTTAAGATATTGTTCCCATATTTCCTTCTGTTCTTAAGGGTCTAATTCCATTTGGTTTTTCGTGTTTGTTACAATAGATAAATGTTTGGGTTTTCATATCCCAGCGACTTCTTTCACCTTTCTGTGTAATTCTCTATCTTTATGCTTTCTTTGCAGATCTTCTACCTCTTTACATTTTTGTTTCATCCACTCTTCCTTAGCTACATTTATATTTCTCTCAATTTCCCTGTTAAGCTCTTTGTATCTTGTTAGGTTTTTGTTTTTTACCATCCGTCTCCTCTCCATAATTTGTAATATTTCGTTTGTCATCCATGGTTTTCTTTGTTTACGGTTTTCTTTCTATATATTTTGGTTTGCTGCCTCCAGGACAGTATTTTTAATTTTTCTCCACATGTCTTCAATGTTTTTTTTTTATTGTCTTCTCTTTAGTGGGAGCTAATGTCTTAGACTCCAACTGCGTGTCTACCATGTCTTTATACATATGTTTTTGTCCCTGGTCAGCACTACTCCATGTTACTCTCTGACTGGTTTTAGCCTTGCCTACTCTTTTAAGTTTTATTCTGACAGTTGCAACTACAGGATTGTGGTCTGAATTTATGTCACAGCTTGGGTACGTTTTTACATTTAGAATACTACTACGGAACCTTTCATTAATTGTAGTGTAGTCGATTTGGTTCCTCACAATATTTCCTTCGCAATATACATCCGACGTATACAGACGTCTTATTGGTAATTTAAACCATGTGTTAAGAACCACCAAGTTGTTCTCTTGGCAAAATTCAACAAAGCGGGTGCCTCGTTCATTCCTCGTTCTTAAACCGTATGGGCCGATGATCGATTCGACCTTTTCTGCTCCTACCTTCGCATTCCAATCTCCCATAAATATGTTGATGTCATCTAATTTTATGTGTGTTTTTAATCTTTTCAATATCGGAGTAGAAAATCTCAAGATCTGTATCTGTGCTGCCTGCTGTCGGGGCGTATACCTGTATTATATTAATATCGAATGGTTGTCCATTTAATTTGATGATCATTACTCGGTCGCTGACTGGTAGAAAACCCTTCGTGTGTTGTTTCATGGATGCTGTTACCAGCACTCCTATACCTGATTGGGCATCATCATCTTTGCCTGCATAATAGAATCGGTTTCCATTTATTGTATCCACATATTCTTCTCCTTTTCATCTCACCTCACACATACCAAGTATGTCCCACTTCATTCGTCTCATCTCGTTTTCAGCGTTTGCTAATTTGCCTGCTCTATACAATGTCTTAACATTCCACGTAGCAATTTTAAGTTTCCTCCCGGGGATTCTTAGCACCCCTTAACGATTGAACGCCTGCCGGGCACTAGGGGCCATGTATTGATTTTGACTTGCCATATTAACTATCTTGGGAATTTGATGCGAAGGTTTCCCACTTGCCTTTCGCATCCTATGCCGTTGACGACGCGATATCGTTCATACTGGATATAAGGTACCATTTACATTTATGTTATCAATATTGGGTAGATTATGTCTTGTAAAGATGATACTATACTAGATTTTTGAGGGGTTAAAGAAAACCCTAACGATTCAAATTTTAAAGCAGTTAGTTGTATATGTAACGTGAGCTCAGTTATGCCTACTTCTATTTTTTTATTAATGTTATAAACGACAAAACCATCAGCATACTGTATTACCAGTGGACTTTATTATGTCAGGTCTCGCTCAGACCTCGTCACCCGTTCATTTCGTTATTCATTAATTCATCAATTATCAGATTTTAGTGAATATATAAACGAATGATTTAAAATATTAAATATATTGTATAACATATTTATACCTACATATTTCGTTCGTGTATACATCAAATATTTATATAACTAATAAATGAAAATATGCAAAATAGATATAATGTACATACAGGATAGTCCAATAAAAGTTTTTTTTTTATTTACAAACTCACATCAGCCTGTAAGACTATAATTTTCCGAGATTCCGAATTTACGTCTTTCCGCACTGTGTAACGGGCACTTCTCTAGAAGGTGTTTCACTGTTAGCGGGGCCTCGCAAGCTTGGTTCTTCCGTTTTCGACACCAATTTCTTAGTCTCAGGACAATAGTGTCCTTCCACTCACTAGCTCATCCGCCCTAAGCCGTTGGTCAGTAAATGGTGGATCGCTTATCGTTACAGCCTCGTTAGTTATCTAGCAGAATGTACCAGAAGACCATGATTTAGATCATCATACGAGCAGGTGAGGCTGACATGACTGTGTTGATCTACCTACGAGTTTATAATTGCTCCGAGGTATTTATACTTGTTGACTCTGTCTAGCGGTTTGCATCCCAATTGTCAATGTAGACAGATTGATTAAATACATTTAAAACAGTATGAAGATTGCCGGATCAATCCTTGGCACAAAGTATTTCTATAATCTTATATATTCATTAGTTTGTATTTAATATACTCGTATATTATTACAAAAATAAAATAATTATATGTATATTTTGGTAGAAGAATGGCTCTAAATCAACTAGAAACTAATAGATATCCGGGAGAGGATAAAATTACAGTTGAAATGTTGAAAATTGGTGGCAGAAAAATGGAAAAGGTACTAAATATTTTATTTAATAAAGTAATTGATGAAGGAAAGATTCCTCAAGAATGGTACAACTCCGAAGTCATTTTACTATTTAAGAAACGTGACAAAGTAAACATCGAGAATTACTACTACAATATCCTTGCTATCACATCTGTCTAAATTACTAACTAAAATCATAACCAACTGCCTAACACATAAGCTCGATTTCTATCGACCTTTTGAGCAGGCTGGATTCAAAAACATTTTAGTACCATAGACCACTTTTACTACGTAAGAACACTGATAGAAAAATGCACCGAGTATAATGTTCCAATTCATATGGCAATTTTCGTCAATTTCCAAACAGCATTCGATTCCATCTAATTAAGGGCAGTGCTTGAACCTCTAGAAAATGCACGTATAGATTTAAGATAACATACTTAAAACCATATATGAAAATGCCACCATGCAGATAAAGCTGGACGAAAGCACAAAAACTAATCCCATAAGACTACAAGGGGGAGTAAGACAAGGAGACAGCATCTCTCGCAAACTATTTACCCTTGCTCTAGAAGACATTTTTAAGAAACTAGAATGGAATAATAAGGGTATCAACGTCGACGGATCATACTTAAACCACTTGAGATTCGCGGATGACATAGTTTTAATAGTCACTAATATTCAAGAACTAAATGATATGTTACAACAATTAAATGCAGTTTTAGGAGCGGTAGGCTTAAAAATGAACTACTGCAAAATAAAAATACTGAGCCGAGTCCAGACAAACAGAACAATACAAAATCATGCCATAGAAAATGTTAAACATTATGTATATCTAAGTCATGTTATCAAACTAGAAAAACCAAATCAAGATGTTGAAATTAAAAGAAGAGCACAACTGGCATGGAGCGCTTTCGGCAACCTAGCATATATCTTGAACAGCACCTCCATTCCTGTAAACTTAAAGGAAAAGGTGTATAACACATGCATACTATTAGTTTATACCTACGGCTTGGAGACAGTAACACTTACCAAAAATCAGCTAAAAAATTAGAAACAACGCAACGAGCAATGGAACGAATCATGCTTGGAATATCACTTAGAGATAAGATTAAAAACACCGAGATAAGACGTAGAACGAAGATTAGGGATATTGTGGAAGAAATTACAAAAATGAAGTGGCGCTGGGTAGGTCACGTAGCCCGATATAATGACAACAAGTGGACACGGAGAATTCTAGAATGGAGACCAAGGACGACAACAAGAAGCATGGGAAGACCTGAAAAAAGATGGGTAGATGACATAAGAGCAGTGGCAGGTAAACAGTGGATTAGATTGGCGCAAGATAGAGAAAGATGGAAGCAATTGGGAGAGAGCTACATTCAGTACTGAATGGAGAATGGTTTACAAAGAGGAAGATATTTTGGTTTAAAATCATTAATAGTTATACGTAAATATTCCGTTATTTTTGTTTTAAATTATAACAGGACTACTCTGTAAATCTATTTTTATTAACCTTTACGGTTCACGTTCGATATGAAATGCAAAATGTTCTAAATATAACTATATTTTCAGCATCAATTTAATAATTTAAACAAACAAAAACACAGTAAACGTAGTTTATATTTTTTTAAGGTTACACGACGGTGGATTTACAGATATAACAATGGATGGAGAACCTCATCCCCCTACCTGGAGGAGTTGGATGGAAAATATAGAAGAATACAAAATTACTAGAGATATGAAATATTCAGGTAAAGCTTATAAAGATGAATATACGTCTTATAAATTTTACTGGTCTTAGCGTAGTTGGTAGCTGTTGTTCGTTATTATATAGACCAGTAAATGAACGTGAACTACGGAGATACCCTATAACTTTTCGTATCACGACCGAATTGCACGAAAATTTATATTTAGGTTTTACTTACCCTCCACTTCACTTTTGGACTTGTGCCGTTGGTTACTTTTTTTTTAGGGGTGAAAATTACCTTATTAGAATAAAAAACATATAATTAAGGCCATCCGCGGAAAAAGGGCCCATATCCAAATGTCGCTTTTGAGAAAAACGCAATTGAAAATTTAACAAGTATTTTAAAAACCAGATTAAAACTTTGTACTTTAATGAAAGCTAAAATAAAAGTATTGTATTTAAACAGAAGTTACAATAAGATGTTTCAAACATAGACACATTTTTATGTAAATATAATGTTTTTACATTAGCTTGTCATGGGCCCTTTTTCCACAGATTAAGTATATGACTCATTAATATACGTCTTATAAATTTTACCGGACTTTAGCGTAGTTGGTAGCTGTTGTTCGTTATTATATAGACCAGTAAATGAACGTGAACTACGGAGATACCCTGTAATTTTTCTTATCATGACCGAATTGCACGAAAATGTAAATTTAGGTTCTACTTACCCTCCACTTCACTTTTGGACTTGTGCCGTTGATTACTTTTTTTTAGGGGTAAAGATTACCTTATTAGAATAAAAAACATATAATTAAGGCCATCCGCGGAGAAAGGGCCCATATCCAAATGTCGCTTTTAAGAAAAACGCAATTGAAAATTTAACAAGTATTTTAAAAACCAGATTAAAACTTTGTACTTTAATGAAAGCTAAAATAAAAGTATTGTATTTAAACTGAAGTTACAATAAGATGTTTCAAACATAGACACATTTTTGTGTAAATATAATGTTTTTACATTAGCTTGTCATGGGCCCTTTTTCCACAGATTAAGTATATGACTTAAAAATTAATCGAAGAGTATAAGAAATGGAGACTTGAAATTAATATCCAAAAAGCCAAGTATATGTGTATAAGCGGGAAACAACAGGACCTCATACTGCAATATGGAGAAATTATCAAACATTGCAATACCTTAATTACTATTTAACTGGAAATAAGCCACAATTAAAGATAAAAATACGTTTATTGATGTTTCAATTTCCAATTCGGAAATCGTTCTCAAAATACAAACAGTAAATTAAACAAATTTTGTTTAATTTACTGACAAGACCCATTTGTAGTACCATGAATTCTCCTTGTAGTGAACTATCAAAATTTTTATTAAATATTTTAAAACCATTTACAAATAAAAATGACACATTCATAAAAAATGAACATTTTTTAAATAAATTATCAAATATTGAATTTAATTCAAATAATACTTTGGTAAGTTTTGACATACATAGTTTATTTACGAATGTGCCGTTAAATAAGACTTTAAGTATAGTCAAGACAAAATTAGAGTGATAATTCATTGGCAACTAGAACTAGACTAAACACTGTAACAAGAATGAGGAATGTGTAGCAAAAATGTGCAGTGTAGCAATAGGGTAAACTCTAAAATGTACCTTGATACACCAACGAACTAATATGTGGAATAACAGAAGATGGAAGGGATTAGATAGAAATGAAATAAGTTATGTAAAAGTAATAAATAAAGGGTAAATATGAATTTTAAAATATAATAAAATTAATGCTGGCTAGCGACTATGCAGGAGAATGACCACTTGACACTCTAAGAGGGATTCGGCCAATTTGCATGCCCTACAGAGACCGTAAGATGTAAGAATTAATGACTAGAAACTACCAAGAAATAAACAGAAGAAAGATAAAGTTGCTCTACTGAATGTTTGGGCGCCAGGAAGTTAAATGTTTTCTTCCGAGATATCTTGTATTGCTGAAATAGAAAAAGTTGGGTACTAATTGAAATATTAAATTTTTAACCACAACTTTAATAATTACCCAAAACTTATGTACAGACTATGTTAAATACTTATCTATAACCCACCACCTTTTATGTACAATTAACTTATCTATATTTACAATAAAATCCCTTACATATAATTATAAAACAATTTCCCCCCCCCCCTAATGTACCCCTTAATTTTAAATTCTGACAAAGGTTATACTCAATAATTATGTATAAATAATAAATACAAAAATACTACTCACTAATAATTTAGTTTTCGTTAATTAATTTTTAAATTTTCAAATGAAATGAAACTCTCCGGATACGTGTGCACACAATAACCTAACAAAGAGAGATTCAAGGGAGAGTTAAAACCTCATCCCTTGTTAGACAATAGATAATTAAATTAAGTTACAATGACTATTTTTTTAGAAAAATTAAATGGATTTATTATTAAAGATATATATTTAAATTAAAGTAAAGCAAAAGTTAAAACCTTGAAGAGGATGTTGCAAAAGTTATAAAAAATATTGGAATGACAAACAAAAAAACAAAATAAGTTCTTCCTGCTGGTTTCCGTAGGTTGCCCTGGAAGATGATCCGGTGAAGAACTAGACTCCGGTGGATAAAAGTACACCAAACCTGGATTCCATGTATATATAAAAAAAAATCTTCTTTAAATCCCCATATAACTTAAAACTTCTTCCCCTTCTCCTTAATAAATATAACCCAAAAACTAAAGATTTCTTCCCTGACTTGTGACTGGATTCCGGAAGTAGCCTAAAAAAAAGAAAAGTTGTGTTACTCCAAGTCTTTTGTTCATACAAAAAGGTAAGGAAAAAAAACACACAAGGTTTATCAACCTTGAAAGGTGATACAAGAAATGTCAGCAAGTGACCTTAAATTGAAATAAAAACCTTAATGGTTTTGGTAAATAGTGACCTTCGAATGGTGTGACAATGTTTTTTATAAGATAGTTTTAACGAAAAGTATGATCTTTATATATTATAGAATAGGAAAAAAAAGAAATATTAGCCGGTTTAAACGGTATGAACTTGAAATAAATAATTGTTTGCTTTCACCCTTGGAAAGAAATAAAATTTGAAATGATTATAAAATCTAATACTTGTAAAGTATTTAGGTATTAATGAAATAAAGTATATGTATAAATAAAAATGACATATATAAGATGTGTGAAATATCTATCGAGAAAGGATTAAAATTGATTTGAATTTCACTAACAATGGCGGATGATCTGACATGGTTTTTCATATAATTTATTTATAAGTTCGTCTTACCGGCTGAGGTGATCCAAAACTTAAAGTATCCTCGTACAAAACACCCAAAATAACTTAAATTGTTGCCTTTAAATCAACAGTTCTTCGAACGATCTTACTTCGATCGAAACCAGTCACCAAGTGCTCTGTTAAGGTTCTACAGCCGTCAAGTGGATGTACTTTCAGAATCTTACACCAGGTGGCGCGATTTAATGCCAACCTTAGAGAATAAAATTTACTGGGAGTTATTTAAATATTCAGTTTAAGAATATTTCAACTATGAATTTAATTTAAAGTTAAATTAAAAGACTCCAGTCACAAAAAAGGTAAACGGTTATTTAAGTAACGGACTCGTTACAACACATCGGCTATAATGGAGGTATTAACGTTATCTACTGATAATACATATTTTCAACTAAATAATGAATTCTGTAAACAAAATTTTGGTCTAGCAATGGGCTCTAGTTTATCTCCATTTTTAGCCGATATATTTATGGAAGATTTTGAAACAAATATTATTTCTAAACAAAATTTAAAATCCACAGTATAGTGGAGGTATGTATATGATATATTCTCAATATGGCCTCATGGATCAGAGTTGTTGGACATATTCCTAAATGATATAACACGCTACCTTTCCTGGATGTTTTAATCTCTAAGAACGATACTGGATATGAGACTCAGGTGTATAGAAAACCAACACACACCAATAGATAATACAATATTATACACAATATTAATGTAAAAAAGGAAATAATTAAATCCTTATACGATAGAGCCAAAATTACTTGTTCTAACGAAAATTCGTTCTTGGAGGAGAAACATTTGTTAACATCTGTTTTATTAAAAAATGATTATCCTTTATCGTTTATAAATAAGGAATTTTCAACAATCGATCGAATAGAACAGAACAACTTAGAACAAGATCCTACAGCATACACAAGGAATAATACGAGGAAAATAACAATACCGTACATAAAAGGATTATCAGAAAAACTTAAAAGGATAGGATATAAATTCATTATTTCAACAACATTCAGAATAATAAACACGTTGAGATCTATTTTGTCCAAAACCAAACCTAACAATGAACAAGAAAGAACAAAGAATTGCATTAATAAAATACCTTGTGAATGCGATCAGTTTTATTTAGGTAAAACATCAAGGCCATTAAATGTTAGAATAAGTGAACATCAATCTTATATTAAAAATAGAGAATTTGATAGATCTCAAATATGTACACACGCATGGGATAATGAACATAGGGTTCAATGGAATAATTCAAATGTGGTCCTAAAAGAAACGGATGGTAAAAAAAGAAAAATCAAAGAAGCGGCTCTAATTATGCTAAATGAGGCCAATTCTGTGTCTCAAATTCCTCGGCAGAATGTAGTAGGATCTGGTTACCAATATTGAAAGAAGAAGTTATTAATAAGAAAATACCAGTATTAGTAAGTCAGTAACATATAGAGGATACATCATTTATGTTTTTTAAATAACGAAACATATAAAATCAGAATCTTTGTGTTTATTGAAGGTAAACTAAATGCACGAACAAATATATACCATGTCCGGATAGTATTATGAGGTTTTTTTCCTGGTTTTTGCCTCATAATTTACTGTGGAATCACTAACAATAGAATTTTACTGTCATCATATCATGTGTTTGTCTTTTTAAAGACGAATTACATGCTATGATTTTTTTTGACGGATATTCTCAAGTTAAAGTTGATTTCATGTAATCGAATGAACTATCTTATAAGTAAAGTCGTCCCGGGAGCGCAACTCAACAATATTGGCAATATAATTTTAAAGTCGTCTACATAAAAATGCATAATGTATGTCTGAATTGTCAATATAAATGAGTCAGATAAAATTAGATTATTAGAAGAATTTTTCACTATGTAACAAAAAACAAAATTTGTTTAATTTACTGTTTGTATTTTGAGAACGATTTCCGAAGTGGAAATTGAAACGTCAATAAACGTATTTTTATCTTTAATTGTGGCTTATTCCCAGTTAGATAGTAATTAATTTAAAATGCCACAAGAAAACAGCTTCAGAACAATATTGCAATACCTATAAATATTAAGGTATACTCATCACAAAGGAAGGCAATGTAGACGACATAATTGAGGAGAAAAACAACCAAGGAAGAAAAGCAACTTCCCTTCTTAATAGTAGCCTTAAGGATTAATTAATCTCTAATATTATCAAGTACAAAATATTTGATACAATCATTAAAAGTATAATTACAACGTCTCCGGATTTCCGAAGACTGAAAGCGATTTCCGAAGCTGGAAAATCGACACTAGAATGAGTAACGCCTAAAGAATGCCTGAAGAACGTCTTCCAAAACAAGTCTTAATGTGAACCCCTTACGGTAGAAAAGACAGACATAGAAGAAGACTTATGGACGAACCGACAGGAGTGGCAACTGCGTATCGGAAGACGTAAGAGCCGTAACGTTTTAAAGCGATCTGTATATTATATATATATATATATATATATATATATATATATATATATATATATATATATCACCGAGCAAGCCCTTATCTCTTGCCGTACTGCTCTACCATAGGCCGATCAGATACCAGCATATTCTAGACTAAGCCGCAGATTTATTTAGAATTTTAAACTGCTGCGTTAGCCTTTTTGTTTTTTGTACACCGAGCTGGGGATTGAACTGACATCTCTCGCAGTGAAGCGAATTAGAAGCCAGCAGCCCAGCCCGCTTGGCTATCCGATCGACTTTTTCCTTACCATTTTTCAAATTAACACGACCTCGAGCATGTTATTAATTTATATTATTAATAATTGTTAATCTATTAATTGATAATCCAAACTTCAACGTTTCTGGATCTTTACCTTTTTCTTGATCCCAAATATAGAATTCCTTTGAAGTTTTACTTCAAATATAGCAACACAGTGTGGACGCCGTGTCCGTGACTGTATTGCGAAACTTTCATAATTATGATTTAAAAATTGATTCTTCCGTTACTGAAAAAAGAAGAACTAATATTAATTTAGTACCTACACAATAATGTAAATAATGCATAAGGTATTTTTGTTAACTTGTTTGTTGTATCCAATGTTTGTTTAAGAACCACAATAAACATCTTAGGTCAAGTGAAAGGATAGTTAAGTATATCATAGACATATAATACAAAATAGACTGACTTCTGCAATACAGGGGCCTGTATGTTCTGCTGTTTAATGGGCCGAGTTTATGGACCACGTGATCTTCCCATTGGTCATTTAGATTACGTTGTCGATAACCTTGTTATAGTGTATTTTTATGTATGAGAGAGTAATAAAACAATAAATTATGTATGCAAATCCCTAAACTGTTGATACGGGTGACTCAATGAAAAACAGATATTGTTAACAAGTTTACAGAAGTATATAGGAAAACAATTTTAAATTGAGTATGACCACCAGGTATAAAGGTTGGAGCAGAATAGAATACAATAGTTGTGAGGGTTACTAATCCCTAAATAAGGTTGCCAGTGTCGGAGTGATGGAGGTTAGTAGGTACTAATGAATTTGCAAGAAATGTAAGATGTTTATTTTATTGGTTATATATAACCAATAAAAGTTTAATAAGTACCTACCTATTTGCAAAATAAAGTTTAATTCTTTAGATAAAATAAAACGTTTTATTTTATCTGAAATGAGTGCATTCCACGAAGTAAGGGTTTCAACAATCAAACATTTAATTCTTTAATTCCAGGAATCTACAACAGTAATTGACTAGATAATTACCTTCTAAACTTATTCCACAGAAAATGTGATAGTGGGTTTTTCCATTTTGTAGGAAGGTCCAAGTGGCGTATTCAAAATTCTTAACAGTTCACTAAAAGTTGGTACTTCAGTTGCAAGGTGCAGTTTATTGTGTATACTAGTGTTATGAAAAATTTGGAAGTGCCGTGTAAACGCCGAAAAATTGATCCTTTAACAGTTAATGAAAAAACATTAATATTTAATTGTTTTAAATCATTTACAGACAAACGTTTATGTGAAAGTGTTGATGAGACCGTTGAGTTAGTTAGCAGTACACTTGGTGTTGGGAAATCTACGATTTACAGAGTTATTAAAGAAGAGAAATGTGGTAGTTTTTAAATGCCACGTAATGCTCGAGGGAAACCAAAATTTCAAATAGAATATCATTTTAAAGAAGGACTTTGACGGAAAGTGCATGAATTCTTCTTTTCCAGTGCAAGAATTTCCAACATTGGATAAAGTTCTTGTCTCAGTTCGAGATGATAAGGATTACCCAGAAATGAGTCGAAGTACGTTATGAAAACTTTTAAAAGAAATAGGCTTCCGCTGGAAAAAGAATCCCAGAAAGTCTCTTTTATTAGAAAGAAGCGATATTGTCATATGGAGAAGACATTTTCTAAGAACCATAAAGAAAATGAGAAACCAAAAAAGAAAAATATTTTATCTTAATGAAAAATGGATCAACGAGGGTCATACACCAAATAAATTTTGGCAGGATGAAACTGTTACAAGTCAAAGGCACGCTTTTGTAAATAACTTATCTACTGGTTTAAACCCACCATCAGGAAAGGGACGCAGGCTGATAATAGTACACATTGGCAATTCAGACGGTTTTGTTGAAGGTGGTTTATTAACTTTTGAATCAACTCGTACCGGTGACTACCATGAAGACATGAACGCTGATGTCTTTCAAGAATGGTTCGAACAAATGATAGATCTTCTTCCTAAGAACTGTGTAATAGTAATGAATAATGCAAGTTATCACTCCAGACTTATAGAAGGACTGCCCACAACCAAGTGGTTAAAAAAGGACTTGCAGAATTGGCTGAGTTCAAAAAATATTACGTACCATCCCGGATCTATAAGAAAGGAACTTTATTCGTTGTGTGCCCTTCATAAAGAAAAATTAAAAAAATACGAAATTGATGAAATTGCCAAAAATCGTGGAATGACAGTACTTAGATCCCCACCATATCATTGTGAATTAAACCCGATTGAACTGGTATGGGCACAGATAAAGAGTGAAGTTTCAAGAAAAAATACCACTTTTAAAATTCATGATGTTAAACAGTTGTTTTTGGAGGCCGTAAATAATGTAAAACCTGAAAACTGGGTAAAGGCAGTAAATCACACTATTAAAGAAGAGGAAAAAATGTGGAAGCTGGACAATATTACTGATAAAATGATCGAGCCAGTTATTATAAATCTTGGTTCTGAAAGTTCATCTTCTGAATCTGATTTGGATTTGTAACAAGTAGCTGTAAGTTTTATAATAATATTTTTATTCATCTATTTAACATACCTTAGACGGTTTTAAAAACTCTTTTTCTCTTTTGTAATTTTTAAAAATTAAAAAAAATGTGAATTTTTTAAAACCCTTTTTAATGTAGGCCAGTCAGTTCTAATATAGTGTGTGATAAAAGAGGTCACTTTTGTTTACATACACATAACACTTTATAACACTGAAATATTTCATTTATTTTTTACAATTATTCAAAGTAATTTTTTAATTAATCTTGAGCACGCCCATGGAGTGGTCGGAGGTACCAGTTAAAATTATGCTAATTACTCTCTCGTTCATAAAAATAAACTATAAATTAGAAAGATAAGCATATACTGCTTTGCGACAGTTTTGGAGAATGGGCTGCTATTGCAATCATCGGTCTGTCTTATATTATATCTGTATAAAGAATATTGCTCTTAACCTAACCTAACGTAGCCTAAGTTTGTACATTTTTAAAAATACGCTTATAATGCAATTTACCCCACAATAAAAATACAGTTTTTTGTTTAAATAGTTTCTACAACATTTTGAATACCATTTAATTAACATCTTAAACTTTCAGATATTGAGATTCCGACAGTAAACAACGTACGCAATGCGGAGCTCATGGGAATGGTTCTTTCTAACGAAGACAATGTCTTGGCCGTCGGTCCAACAGGAACTGGTAAAACACTTACAGTTATTGGCAAACTCAGCAAAAATATGCATAAGAAATTTATTTGCGATTTCTTCAGCTTCTCAGCTCGAACTACTGCAAATCAAACACAGGTATGAGTTTGCCACGTTTTCGAAGTAAATTAATAGATACATTTTTTTAATTTACTTAGTTAATTTTGCTAAAGAGGAAAATATTTTTTTTTTGTTTTCGGTAAATAAGATATTTTAAAATGTTTATGTTTTTAAAATTTACTTCAAAAATATGGCTTACAAACAGTATTGGACACTTATTTCGTCAATTAAAAAGCAAATGAGAGATTCAGCAATTTCGTCTCTAATTAGTTTTGGAACAATTTATATGAGGGCTTGAAGGGGGGACCGAACAATCACTGGAATTAGATATGTGGTAAACAAATAAATTGAAACGTTTGCAAACGGCTACTCGTGTTTTGCTTGGAGAACAAGGTCGTGGATGAGGTTGGTTTTTTGGATGAACTGGGAGAACTAACTACGGAAAAGAAATAAAGATATACCTACAGAGAAGTCCTACACTAAACAAGAAGATTTCTAAACTATTTAAAATTAGGAAGAGTCCATTTAGAAAATTCCCTTGCTGCTTGGAAAGATAGGTTTAGCTTTTTCTTTCCTAAAAATGTTTAAGGGTGAATATTTTTTTAAAAAAATATTTTTTTTTAATTCCTAGTTTAAATAAATATGTTATTTTTTGCTACTGATAACACTAGCAAAGATAAAAAGCTAGGGTAGGATAAAAAGCTAGAGTAGGCTTATAGGGCGATATGAATTTGCTTGGGTTGCGGGTTTACCAGGTTTTGGAGTCATAGTAACTTAAGCAAATTTCCATTGTATTGGAAAGTATCGAAGATTAATTGAGGAAGTGTCAATCAAAATCAATCATGTCCATAAAAATCAAATAATGAGTTAGCAGCTGTTTCATAATATAAAGAGTGAATCCTATTCTAAATTATCCTATTCTATATCTATCTCTAATCCTATTCTATATTAAACAAAGAAAGCTTGAATATCTGGGCCACATATTGAGACACGATAAGTACCGTCTGCTACAATTGATTGTCCAGGAAAAATAGACAGTAAGCGAGGGCCAGGCAGGAGAAGACACTCGTGGCTCCAAAATCTGTGGAAGTGGTTCGGGCTCACATCGGTCGAACTATTCAGAAGCGCGGCAAACAAGATCAAAATTTCCATGTTAATAGCCAACGTTCGCAACGGACAGGGCACTTGAAGAAGAAGAAGAATCCTATTCTATGGTGTTTTCGGTTTCGGTTAAAAAAAAAATCATGTCCTGTTTAAAATGAATACACAATATTAGGTTCCCAAATCAAATGAAATCATGTCCACAGTTGGTTTCAATCATACCACCACATGTCCATTCAGCTAATAGGAGTGCCCCGATTTGGTCACGTGATTTGACCATGTCAACACATTGTCTGTGTTTTCCCTCTAGGTTATGTTAATAGCGAGTATTAAGTTTGTATTGCACTGTGGTTTAATTTTAATATTATTATAGTAGTTTTTATTAAATAAAATTGAAATTTTCCATGGATGAAGAAAACTTAGTGAGTCCATGGATGAAGAAAACTTAGTGAGAGTGGGCGATGCCAATGAAGGATCTCGTAAAAATAAAAAGGCTGTGGATAAAAAAACTAGAGCCAAGCTTAAGCGATACAGTACTCCAGTGGGATGTCGTGTGTTTGTTCCATGTAAACACATGAACAAAGGTATGAAATGTGCATTAGTTAGGCCTATAGATGCTATTTTTGTTCGAAATATCCTCTACAAAATACCTGACAAATACACGCAACATAATACCATTGCCAGTTGGATAAATCATTGTAACATAAAGCGGCGAAGGCCTAGGCCTACCTCTGAAAAATCAAAGGCTAAAAGTTTTAGTGTACAATATTCTATACTTTCATCAACCGGTTAAGTTATACCTGTGTGTAGGAAACTTTTCATGCATATTACCATGGTGAAGGGAACAAGATTGACTAATATTTCTAAAAAGGTGAAAGACGGAAAGGCTGTTGTTAAGGATCAGAGGGGTGGCGATAGGAAGAGTCACAAATCTGCTGTGAACAAGGAATCAGTCCGCCTTTTTTTGAGAAATTTAAGAGGAAAAAAAAAGCCACTATAATAGAAAAAAATCGAAAAGGATTTACCTTGGTGCAGACTTAAACATTAAGAAGTTGTGGCTAATAGACAATGATTCTGTACTTGATAATCTTAAAGTTAAGAAATCTATGTTTAGGAGAGTTTTCAATGAATTAAATATCGGATTTTCATCACCAGCTTCTGACGTTTGCAGTACATGCAATAAAATAGATCCTCAGCTGAAAATTGAGAAGGCTAAAGCTGTGAAAGACTTGGTAGTGGTCAACCAATTTATGATGGAGAAAAGAATACACAGATTAAGAGCTAATGCTTTTTATGGGCTCTTAAAGGAAAAAAAAAGAAAATGAGGTTACTTTCTGTTTTGATCTCCAGCAAATTCAAGCACTTCCCAAAACTCCTATTCAAGACGCGTTCTACAAAAACACAATTAAGTTTTTACTCTTTTTGCATTGTAGCATCAAACGCACAAAACCCCATATTTTACGTATAAACTGAAGAACTTGCAGGAAGGGGTGTGACCGAAGTTTCATCTGCACTTATAAATTTCTTGAACTCCGCTAATTTTTCAAATGTAATAAGACTGAATCTGTTCTGTGATGGGTGTGCCGGTCAAAACAAAAACAATGCCGTTGTTCACACATTAGTGTATTACTTAGGATCAGTGCAAAATGCTTTAGAGGAGATTGTTCTAACATACCCTGTTCGCGGGCATAGCTTCCTCCCCGCTGATCGGGTGTTCGAAAGGGTTGAAAAGTTACTCAGGAAGCAGCCTACCATTGCAACAAAGGAAGAGTACTACAATGTATATAGTTCTGTTGGAGAAGTACGGAAACTTGGAGAGGATTGGGGATTAATTGATGCTAAAAGTTTGGCTACACGATTTAAAAACATTGAAATGATATCTGAAAAGAAGAGGATTTTTGTAAGGAAAGAGAAAGCTGTCAACCGCAATGGACAAGAACTTACTGTTATCAAAGTGAAATCGGCACAGAATTTTAGGTTTGAAAGTGATTTTGAAACCTACAACAAGCCTCAAAAAAAAGGCTGGCATTCTGCAAGGTCGTTCTCAACTCCTGTAGAGTCATTTCCACTGAGCAATATAGTGAAAGGAGCTAAGAAGAAGGATGTGGAGACGTTACTTGTGAAAATGTATGGTGATGACTGGCAGAAACATGACTTTTTATCTTGGTATAAAACCATAATAGTGGAAGTCCAGGACGACGAAATTGATGCTGATGAAGTGGACGAATCCTGTGATTGTCTAGAACCTGACATTGAACTACACATTTAAACATTTATATTTTGTGGAAAGTGTCGTTGGTAAACGTTAGCCATTTTTTGTCAAATGTTAGACAAAAGAGTCAGTCAATTTCAATAATTAAAATGATGTATGCTAATTTATCCGATCTTTCATGTAAGGTTATCTACTAATACGTTTTTTGTGATTTCCCTAAAACTTCTTAAGGTGGACATGATTGATTTTGATTGACACCTCCTCAATTATGCTGTTGTATATTATTGTTAATAACAACACTGCTTCTCTCGGTAGCTTTTGAAGTAATTCTCCTGTTATCAAATCGTAGCCGGGAGTTTTCTTAGGATTTAGCATTTTTATTTGTTTTCGAATCTCTGTCGGAGTAAATGTTGTCAAAGGAAGAGATTATTAACACTGTGTTTCGTTCATTCTTATATTATCATCTTCATCGTTATTAGTATCTGGTGCTGCGAATACAATTGCCAGATGCTCTGTCAATACTGTTGTTTTTTCTGCGTTTGTGCGGGCCCAGGTCATATCTGTTTTACTTAAAGGTGAATTTGTTATTGTCGGTCGTTTAAACTTTTTTGTAACTTTCCATATAGAGTGGTCTTCATATGAAAGGCTAGAAACATAAAACTAGAAAGAGTCGTTTATTTCTTGATGTAAAGCTCTATTTAGTCTATGACTTATCCTGTTAAGGGACGTAACAAATAATACATTTTGTACCATTTTAAACGTTTTTACCCACAAATTTAATGGCTTAACTAATGTTCACCTGATGAGTATTTAACCATATCGCGTTTTTAACCTTAATTAATGTTTAATCTTTATACGTTTGTATTCACTAAAGTGGTAGTACGTGTTCGGGGTAAATACACTGATGATGGTCGTTCTGTTGTGATGTAGCCGGATAGGGTCTTTTATTTATATAACTTTTATAATTAAAATTATTTCTAATTCTCATTGCCATAAGAACTTTTGATCAGAATGATCAAAGCTACATTTCTGCAAAGTTTCAGTCAATTTAACTGAACAGAGCGTTTTATAGAAGTAGTGTCGGTATCCTTTAAGCTTTTCCAAAGCAAAAGCAAAGCAAATTTTATATCACAACACAAAGCTTTATAAAAGTTTATTTAACATTATATTGAGAGATCAATATTGCCTTAAGAAGAAAACATTTCTCTCTCAAATATATAAATATAATGAGATTCCAAATAAATTTTCAACTTATTGAAATATAAATCCAGTATTATCGTTTATTTATTTGGACGGTGCACGTTATAATATAGATACCTCAGAATTATTTCAGGTTTAGTAATTTTGGACTTCCTGGCACGTATTTTCTGAATAAATTATGTACTAGTTAGGATAAATAGACCTTCATATTATTGGATATAAATTAGAACAGCGCTATATTTAGCTGTTTTAATATTGAACTATGCTTGTCATGTTTTATAATTTTAAGGAAAATACAAATTTGAAGTGGTTTTGGATGAAACTGAAATAGTTTTGTCTCTTGTGATTTTTGAATAATTGACCATTTAAATAATTGAGTGGTTTACTTACAATAGTAGCTCAATCCGTTTTACTAAATCTGAGACAATATTAAAATATTATAGGAGTAAGCCTCAATTGATGGTAATCAAAATTATATTTTTAACCAACGTTTGATGTGTCGATTTCCACTCCCGAAATCATTTTT